GTATATGGTGCAGAAGCTTTGGTTCTGGTAGAGATAGGTGAACCAAGTACGAGATGCATATATGCTACTGAGGAAGCTAATAAGGAGAAGATGTGAGTAAACTTGGATCTATTAAAAGAAAAGAGAGAAGCAGCATTAATTCGAATGGCAGTTCAAAAATAGATGATTGAACGATATTACAATAGGAAAGCTAATTTGAGATACTTCAAGATTGGGGACTTCATCCTAAAAATGGTGTTCCAATCTACAAAAGCGGCCAATGCAGAAAAATTGAGTCCAAATTATGAAGGCCCTTATAGGGTTCGAGGCATCACTGGAAAGGGAGCATACGAGTTGGAAACCATGGATGGCAAGGTACTACCATCAAACTGAAATGCAGTTCATTTGAAGAAGTATTACATCTAGACAAGGAAAGTATCCATGGTCAGGTATCATGCAAGTTCAATTTTATTTTGTTCTTTTGAATTTTACTAACCATTTTAGATGATAGGCAAAAAGCTAGCACGTACCAAATGATGATATTAAACCTGAAAGGCACGCGGAATACTAAATTATTCCTAGTCTAAGTTGCAACCTTTCTGATGGAAAGGGGATTATGTAGTCATCATCTAAATAATTATCTCCGAGTCTCGTTCGTATTTTCCTTTTTAGGGAATGGACCAAAAGGACGGAGTAATCTAGTTTTTAAGATTTCATACTTCAAAGCTCTAACACTGGGGGGGAGAGGGGACTATGCATATAGAAGGAAGCAAAAGATCCAGAAAGGCATAGTTCAGTTCAGCCTGAATCAAAAACCGTGATGTAACCTTGAATTTTTCAAAGAAGTGTGAACTCGCGAAAAGGATGCAAGATATTCCATATTCCCACGAGATTTAGGTTAAGGCCAAAATTTAGTCATGGGATAATAGACCCGATTTCGTATTTTAAAATCTGCTACAATGAAAGAAGTTATGAAAGTGTTGTACGAAAAGTTATGGAAATGATGTACAAAATTTATTTGAAAGTTCAAAACATAAAACTTCCTCAAATTATTTCTTTTTTCATGTCTACTTCATGTTTCATATATTTGCACCAATATAAAGATGAGACGTCATGGACTGTTAAGGCATTTTTAAATGCAAGAAAAAGATCAAATATCAAAAAGGCAAAGAGCATAATATGCGAAAAAAGGAACCGAAACATTTATATATATTAACCTTGAAAAACAAGGGTGTTAATTTGTCATTAAACCCCAAAAAGAAGACAGGGGCAGCCAAAAACAAACCTTCCAAAAAGGTTGTTAAACTAAGGAAAGAACAACATCAGGAAGTTCTAAATAAAAGCTAACAAAAAATAAGGGAAAGGAAAAAACTAAGGAGTATCATCAACGGGAGCATCATCAACTAGCAGAAGAAGGATTAATTTGAGAAAAAGAGTCTTGAACATCAGCCCTGCCAGGAACAAGTCCATCTCCATCACCCTTGGAACCTTCGTCTTCGGGTGAGAAAAAGCTTTGACGTTGCTGAGTTTTAACAATTGCTTCTTTAGCCCTAGCAGTCTAAGCATTAAGGTCAAAACCCTCCTGGTTGGCTTCAATTAGAGTCTCGAGGCGAGTGTTCAAGAAAGCCCAGCTCATATCCAATGATAACTTATTCTCGATAGCCTCGTAATCCTTCTCCCACTGATTAATCTCAACTCTCAACTCTTTTTTTCTGCTTTCGAGGCTTCATAGGCTGTCTTCAAAGGAGAGAGAGAACTTTCCAAGAACTGAATCTTATCTGTAGAGGTGCGGAGATCTTACTGAGCTTGGGTAAGTGTCTGAACCAATTCTCCCGCGTAAATCTCTTTTTTATTGAGGGCCTTGGAAAGTTGTTCAGTAAAAGAGGATTCCAGTATATCCTTGTCCTTCCCAACCTGACTGAAAGAAGCTTTTTCAACTGCTAACTCGGCAGAAACCATCCTCATTTGTTGCACCAAAGCATTCTTTTCTTCTGCAAGAACTTCCTTTTCCAGTTGAAGACCTTCGAATTGTTCCTTCCAGTTGTCAGTCTCGGTGCGCAATTCAATAACTTGCTGGTCCATCTGAGAAACTCTTTTCATAAGCTCTATGCCAATCAAATTAATCTGCAAAAAAGGAAGGGGAGGAAGAGTTATGAATGAGGAAGAAAGAAGGAAGGATGTATAATTAAATTTATACCTTCAAACAAGAATGAACAATGTCATTCATTAAAGTGAGTGAGTTATGGCCTTCTAACTTCTTCTCTACGGGGCCTAGCAGTGGCTTCAACCACACATCAGGGACCTCAATCACAATTCTTTTCATCACCCTTCTACTGCTAGAAGGTTCTGCTTCTACATGAGAGGCAGCCACGGGAGTAACAACCGAAGTAATGTCAGGTAAATACATTGGGGGTAATGGTGGATGGAATTGGAAGGAAGCAAGAGGCAATTCTTCAAAAATAGTCCTGAAAGCTTCTTCACCCTCGAAGCCTTGAGCAAACAGTCTATCAACGGAACTTGATGGAGGATTAACAGTATCTTCATCAGAAATCACTAAAGGAGTGTTCTCTGGCTCATCTATGAGTCTGAAAGTAATTGAACTTGATGAAAGGTAATGAGAGGGAGGGGTTTCATCATCAGAAACCATACGTCTCCTGACGCGCGGCCTTCTCACCAAAGATCCTTCTTTTATCTCCTCTTCATCATTAGAGCCATGAGCTACGCTAGTTTTCCTTTTGGAGGAAGGAACACTCAAAATCCGCTCCTGGGCAAGACTCACGGAAAGCCTGGTGAATGGAACAGATGCGGGACTAATGCCACGAATAGCAAACCCTAATAAACAAAAAAGGACGGATGAGAAATTTTCATATAAACAAGTACCGTGTGTTTTCACTTTCCAACCAAATATTTGAGAAAGAAATTTCCAAGTTCTTTTGTCCATAGGGACAGCAGTTAACAACTTTTCTACCCAAGAACGGAAGCCGGGAATCTTATCAAAGACTTCCATGGTTGCTGAAAAATGGGTATGTGATTACATGAAATAATTCAAGATATCTAAAAATAAAAAAATAAAAACTTACGTGCAAAGTTTCATTTTTCTGGAAAAGGCATGTTTTCTTCACCCACTAATTCACTAGTGGAGGAAGAAACAAACTGGGCATACCAGTCACGGTCTCGATCATCCTTGGGGCTAACCAACACTTTTTTACTTCTAGCCACGAGAGAAAAAACTCCTTCACGAAACAACTTTGGGGAATAAAGATGAAGCAAGTGTCGAAAGGTAAAAGGAACGGAAACCAAATCCGACAAATAACAAAGGCATGCAACAGTCCTCCACACGATAGGGCCAATCTGGCCAAGACACACGTTGAAGTAACGACAAAATTCAATGATTACTGGATCAATAGGAGGCTTAAACCCTAAAGTAAAAGTGTAGGTATAAACAAAAGAGAAACCGGCCTGATAAGAGGTGATTCTTTGGTTAGTACCAGGAACTAAAACCGGGAAATCTGGTTTCCAATGACACTCTCGTCGAACTAAGAAAAGAAGATTGATGGTTATTAAACTCGGGTACAGTTCAGCAGGGTTGAGGGAGGCTATAGAAGAGACTTGATTTCTCATGGTCTCATGGTCTGTTACAAAAGAAAACTCTTGAGGAACAAATCTCTGCAACTGTAGGTTCACGCACAGGTTAATTTAAATCTATATTTCTAGAAGAAGATCTAGGGGTTAGAGGAGTCCTAGGTCTAGAAGAAGATGGCTTAGTAGAACCACTTTGAGAAGAGAAACCGCGATTAGCTAATGAACTGAGACTACAAAGTCCTCCACCTCTCCTACTTCTCGTAGGGGCAGTAAAGGAGCAAGTTCATCAGCAATCACAACTTTGTGAGGATCCAGTGTTGAGGAAGACATGATTACCAAAGGAAATACAGAAGAGAGGATGCAGAAATACAATGAGGGAGTAAAGTAATGGATACTGAAGAAGGAAGACTCAAGAAATCAAAAAGAATGAAGTATTTATAAGAAGATACAACTGTCGTTAAAAAACCCGGAAAAAGCGCTGAGGAACTGTAGATCCAATCGTAAGAAGCCACGTGGCACGGGCATTAAATAGATTTGACATACGTTGCATCGATTCTGAAGGAGACATTAGGACACTCGAGAAACGGCGGCAAGGAACTCCCCCCATAAAAACTTACCACTTCCCGAATATTCAGTTGAGAATATTCATAAAGTGGGGGGACTATCTGTATTGGTGGAAAAAAGACATGACACGTGGAACATCAGTAAGCTGACGAGGCATGACGTGTGGAGTGTCGATATAGCGACAAGTGGCACTCTCAATTAACTGAATTAAGAATGCAAGAAAGGTACGGGAGAAACACCCACGGGGTAGCATAGAGAAAAGAACCGGACCTCACAGTTGTCAAAGGATAAGTAGGAACGAAATGAATGAAGGCTACAAAGAAGGGAAGATACACGAACCAGAAGTAAATAAGGAAGGAGAATCAGAGCAGTTACAAAGAATCTTTAGTTATAAATATGCCAATTACGATTGTCTATGGTAACGGGCAATCAATACAATTAATGCCTCTAATAACCCAAATTAAGTATGAGAACTGTTATGATTATATGCTCGTATATAAGGATAAGAATCTCATTTGTAAGGACAGGTTACGATTATTACTGAAATACATACTATAATTATTTGCTTTACTCTTCAAGTTTTAAGCCTTGATTTTGGGGAGTGGTTGTCAGTTCATTCCTTATTGTTCTTTGCTAATCGTATCCATTATTTTTTCTATTCTTCTTAAAATTATTGGAAAAGTGAAGTAAATCTTGGTTATCAGTAACCCGTTTTCTTCTAAATATTGACTTCGACCGAGAAATCTATTTTTGGTTAAACAACCATGGGTTCACGTGCCCATAAAATAGACCAATATGGCAAGTCTTCTCTAAGAAAGAAAATAAAAATATTGCAAGTCTTCATCTCGTCTCCAAGTATGCATTCAAGTGGACAACACATTTATGAACCTCAATGTGGCAAATGCCTATATATGCCCATATTATCTAGATCTACGTATTGATATTATCAATATGGGAATAGAACAGTTTGTGCCAAAAATTCTCGCTTTCTTTCTGATCTTCACCTTTCTTTGCTCCTCTCCCTTTGCCGCACCATCTTCTTTCAGAGGACCTACCTTTTGTGAAATCACTCCCTTCCCTGACTTGTGCAAATATTTTCTTCCTCAAAACAAGTCTACAAACATACATGACTACGGAAGGCTGTCCATTCAGCTTTCTTCATCAGCAACTACACAATTTCTTGATTCAGTCAATGGTTACTTAAACTCAAAAACTACATCATCTCAAAGTACCATATTTGTCCTCCAAGATTGCCAATTACTTATTGGCCTAAATTTGGATTTCTTATCCAACGTCGCGGGTACTATTACCCAACCTGGAAATACCCTTCAGGGTTCACAATTTGATGATGTTGAAACCTTGCTTAGTGCTTGTATAACCAATCAACAAACCTGCTTGGACAGCCTTCAAATCACTCCTTCAGCTGCAGACATTGCGAGTCAGATTTTTCCTACACTTGCTAATGGCAGCATGATGTATAGCGTATCTCTTGCCCTTTTTAAGTATGGCTGGCTTCCTAATTCACCTGCCAAAACGAGCTATAGTAGTGGGAGCGGGGAAATGATTTTAAAGACAGCAAGAGGTGGACGAAAGCTCTTGCAAATGAGTGGAATTAGTTCTGTAAACGTGACACAAATGGTAGTGGTGAATCCAGATGGATCTGGGAATTTCACAACTATCAATGATGCCATTGCAGCTGCGCCAAATAATACGAAAGCAGGAAACGGGTATTACATGATATATGTGGTTGCTGGTGTGTACCAAGAGTATGTCTCTATTGCCAGTAACAAGAAGTATTTGATGATGGTTGGTGATGGCATTAATAAGACTATTATCACTGGTAATCACAGCGTAGTTGATGGATGGACAACCTTCAATTCTGCCACATTCGGTAAGTAATTGGTAATTTTAAGTCGAATATCATTTGAGTTATTCAACGTTTCTAAGAGAATTTAGATGGTAATTTGGGAAAGCAAATTACCTTACTGGTTGTTTCTTTAATAATTGGACTTGTCCTTCTCTTTCCCAATTTTTTCCCTTGCTTTATGGAAGATCAAGAGTTAAATACTTAAATTAATGCCATGCATTTTGTAGTCCATAGAAGTCGGATCTTAGTTAAGTTTTTTTTTAAAATCAAAACACGTTTGAATAATCTCATGTAGCCTGATGTTCACTAGAAGTCAAATCTTTCTCTTATTGAACCTTAGCTTTAACTCGCAAATAATTAAAGACACATACACTTAACATCTCCCAAGACACATGTATCCAGATGCGGATCCAAGATTAAACTTGATGGGTTCAACCTTTTTAGTTATATAACAATGAATTCTTTGTGTTTCCAAAACTAGTATTAATAAGAGTCTTTTCGTCTTCTTGAGCCGAGGATCTATCGGAAACAGTCTCTCTACCCCTCGGGGTAGTGTTAAGGTCTGCGTACACATTATCCTCCCTAGACCCCACTAGTGGGATTTCACTGGTCCGTTGTTGTTGCTGAAATGAACAACATTTGTCTCTGCATGCATGTATAACTAGTCACACTATTGCCTGGAAATGGTTATATAATTAACAAGAAAATTGAGGATTAAGTGTTGCATCCTTTGAGATATATGAGCTAGTTATGGCACCACTTTTTAATGTAACGTATCTAAAAGTAAATTATCATGCAGCTGTGGTTGGGCAAGGATTTCTGGCAATGAACATTACCTTTCAGAACACAGCAGGAGCAATAAAGCATCAAGCAGTGGCAGTTCGAAATGGTGCTGATCTATCTACATTTTACAATTGCAGCTTTGAAGGGTATCAAGACACTTTGTACACGCATTCTATGAGACAATTCTACAGGGAATGTGATATATACGGGACGGTCGATTTCATTTTCGGAAATGCTGCTGTAGTTTTCCAGAACTGTAACATATATCCACGCCTTCCATTACAAGGCCAGTTTAATCCAATCACTGCACAGGGCAGAACTGACATAAACCAGAATACAGGCACATCCATTCACAATTGCACCATAAAAGCTGCCCCTGATCTAGCATCGAGCAATGGCACTACACAGACATATTTAGGCCGACCGTGGAAGGAATATTCAAGAACAGTTTATATGCAATCCTTCATGGATAGCCTGATAAATCCTGCTGGTTGGGCAGCTTGGTCTGGAGATTTCGCGCTAAGTACGTTATATTATGCTGAATATAACAACACAGGCCCTGGATCCAATACGAGCAGCAGGGTAACTTGGCCTGGTTATCATGTGATTAACAGCACAGATGCTATCAGTTTTACAGTTTCCAATTTCATAGCAGGAAACTTTTGGCTGCCTGCCACTGGAGTCCCTTATACTGGTGATTTACTTTAAGCAGCAATGCTTGCGATTCTGTTTAGTTTGTTCTGTTTATGAATATGGATGCACCATCTGAATCTTTGAACAAGTTCTGGATATGTTTTATTTCCGCTTTCCAATTTTTAAAGCTTTAATGTATTGTGTGCCAAGCAAGTGTCACGACCCAAAACCCCAACCACGGACCTTGATGGCGCCTAACACCGCTTGCTAGGCAAGCCAACAGATGAAAATGTGAGGAAACAGTAATTTACGACTAACAACATGATAATAAGAAGGTAAAAGCATTTCAAAGGTAAATATGACAGGTCTAAAACCAATAACTACGCAATCCATCTAAAGATTTGGTGTCACAAGTACATGATCTTCTAGAATTTTCTACCTACATTGTTCTGAAAGAAAATACAACATTGTCCGAAAAATAAAAAAAAGTGCGACAGAAATAAGAAAGTGACTCTAAGGCCTGCGAATAAGATGCAGCTCTACCTTGAATCACCGCCTGGTATCCGCTAAGTACCTCTCGGGACTCCGCTGGTATCAATATCAAGATCTGCACGAGAAGTACAGAAGTATAGTATGAGTACAATCGACCACATGTACTCAGTAAGTATCTTGACTAACCCCAGTGAAATAGTGACGAGGTTTTAAGTCCAAAGATACTCACTAATAAAACCTATTTAGTTAAGTAGGCAATAGAACAATACTAGAAAAAACAAGTAGATTATGAGAACAAATATGAGAAGTAGTAATGGATTAACTTGAAGGAATCACAACCAGTTTTCTTAATATCACAACCAAATCTTTTTATAACAAATCGAGTCAAGAGGTTAAAGCGATAACCACCAAAATAACATAGTGAACCCACGAATATTCATAAGATGAGGAATGTGTTTCAAATATCGAATCAAATAGTACGGTAACACCCTTCGTGCATTTACCTCATTCTTACCAAACGTATGCATGTATGTCAATCAAATGGCACGGCAACACCCTTCTGCATTTATCATCCTCACCAAGTATATGTATAACACCAACCAGGAAGAAGGAATACAAATAATAAAACAACAACGAGGTAGAAGATACACAAAGAACAATAACAAATAAAGCAGAAGCATATAGATAACAGTAACAAGCATAAATGCAACATATGAGAGAAGACATAAATGCAAATATAACAGACATGAAGGAAAGCATGATTATGGCAAGAGAAACGAATAGAAGGCGTGGATAAAACAGTAATAAATAAGGTAGAAGACAAAGATGTGACAACAACAAGCAACATAGAAAGCATTGGTGAAGCAATAACCACTAAAGATAAAGGCATAAAGGTATACACAAGGGAAAGATAACATAATATATTGCATGTCTCTCGTCCTCGCCTACACGAAAATACCCTCCGTGCCATCAACTTGCATCCTCATATTATAATATAAAAATAATTGCACGGCATCACCCTTCGTGCTTTTACTCTCTTCCTCACATGATAATGTAAAATAATGGCACGACATTATCCTTCATGCATAATAGTGCATATAAAATAGCACGGCATCACCCTTCGTGTTTTATACTCTTCCTCATATGATAATGTATATGCAATAACACGGCATCACCCTTCGTTCTTTACACTCTTCCACACCAAGCACATGTATATCAGCAACAAGCAAGGTAGGAAGCATAGATAATATAAGAAGAGTGGTTAAGCAAATAAACCATGTGAACATCAATCACAACTCTTGTGCCAATAAAGAATTCAATAAACTTCAAGAACCCTATTGTTCAAGTATTTCGACAAGGCTCAAACATGCTCTTCAATATAAGTATGGAACTCAAATACCTTAGAATGATGGTCATAGACATGTATTTGTGATTAGGTATAGTGAGGACCAAATTTAGCACATCAACGGTTTCATAAAGAGTCTATCATATATTTAATAAAGCTGTTATAGGCTTAATCATGGTTTCTAGCATTAAAATTTTCATTCGTACTATTATAAAAATTAAATAAAACATGAGGCAAGAAAATCACATAGTCAAATAAGGCACAAATAATCATAAAATTTACCTGAGCATGGATTACCCTGCACATACATATATGCTCATCACCTAACATATACATCACCCCCCGCATGTAAAAAATAATATTATTTTATTAGGAAGAGTTTCCTCAACAAAGATAGGCAAAACACTTACCTCTTTCCGGAACACAATAAAAATTCAACCACCCTTTCTTCTTTAGAACAAGCCTCTAAACCAGTCGAATCTATCCAAATATCGTTCAAACAATTCAATACAAGCTTTAAAAACTTCCCACTGTTTAGCTAACTTTAAAAAGTCAACAAAAAGCTAACCCGATCTCACATGGTCGAAATCCGAGATTAAGACCAAATTCTGATTACACATTCACCCCTGAGCCCAGATATGTGATTTGTTTCGAAATTCGGCCTCATTTTGAGATCTAAATCTCAATTTTACAAAATTTCTAAATTCTACCCAAAACCCTCAATTCTACTTTGAAATTCATAGATATGATGATAAAATTCATGATTAAGTAACTAAAATTGATGGAAATTAAGTTTAAGTCGCTTGTCAATAAATTTGGGAAGAAATTCCTCTTCAAAAATCGCTTATAGTTTTTAGGGTTGAAAATGGTGTAAAATGAACTAAGACCCATTTTTTCTAACTTTTACCCAACTGCACATATCGCAATTGCAATGTACGCAATTGCGAAATACTGATCGCAAAAGCGACCTGTGCAACAGACCCACAGATCTCGCAAATGTGATTGTCCCCTCGCAATTGCGAAGAGTCCCTTCATCACAAATGCGAGCTAAGCTTCATATTTGTAAAGCTGTCAGCCCCCAGCTCCAAGTTCCAAAAGCGACTCCAAGGTCGCAAATGTGACCGCTCGTCTGTCCGCAAATGTGACATTACTTCGCATTTATGAAGTCTTAAAATCCTAGTCCCAAATTCCCAATTGTGAGCCTGACTTCGCAAATGCGAGGCTCGCAATTGCAATTAGGTCTTTGCAAATGCGAGACCTGCAACCTAAATACTCCAATTGTTGTGCATCAGCAGTTCCAAATCAGTCTGCAATGCATTCAAAACTCACCTGAGCCACTCGAGTTACAAACCGAACATGCACACAAGTGTAATAACATCATATAAACTTGATCCCTCTCTCAAATCATCAAAACAACATCTAAAATCACAAATCGATCATCAAAACTTAAGATTTTCATGTTTAAAACCAAATTCTCTAATGTTTCACATAATGCGTCGAAAGACGCTCGGGTCACCCGGGACCCCAACCAAATATACATACAAGTCCAAAAATATCATACGAACCTACCAAAATCATTAAAACACCGATCCGAGATCGTTTACCAAAAACATTGACCGTGGTAAACTTAATGTCTTTCTTAAAGTCAAATATCATATTGTTTTCAAAATTTCACATATAAGCTTTTTGAAAAATGACACGAACCACGCACGCAAATCATGAGTCAACAAATGAATCTATGAGAGGTCTCGAAACACAAAAAAGGAATCTAGTACTCAAAACGACCAGTAGGATCGTTACATTCTCCCACACTTAAATATACCTTCGTCCTCGAACGTGACCATAGTCGTTCAAAGTCATCATATAGCTGAATAAACTCATCATACTTGTACCCATGAGTGATCTTATTCCACCACGGTCCATACAAGTCTGTGAACACGCCCCCAACTGAAGATTCTTCTTTCGACCTTAGCCCACATGGAGTGGACCAAAATTCCAACATCTGAAATTCCCTATAAGATCCGACCCTTGTATATATACATTGTGTCGACCCTAACAACTTGCATCAAGCCGTCAATACACTTCCAAGATCAATCCGCACGATGTATCTCATAACTCACGTACTCATAACATTAACCTCTGACCCCAATAGCTGCTCTTTACCAAACTCGGTGCCAGTAATATACCGCATATCAAATAAAACCTTGATCCAAACCTTCCCAACACTGCTAAAGACAAAATAAACATGAGAAAATGCATGACTACTCATCAAATCAACAAATCATGGAGTTCTCTCATCCGATAAGACCATTGCCATATTTCGAGCTGAATATTAGTATAATTCTTCCCAACACACTTCATCCTAATCCGAAAGTGCAAATTCCAGATCCAAAAACCTCATCTCACTCAGTACAAGTAGCTCAACCGACATATCGCACTACATGCCACTCGGAACCTCACGTAACGCGGTCTGTACACCAAACAATCAATAACCCAGATATGACATATAATAATAGGAGGGTCAACTAAGAACGTTACCAAACAAGTTTGACAGGCAGGGCAATATTAAACACCCCCTATGAACTATTTCCATAAAGTAGAAGAAAAACACACAAAATAAGCATAAGGAATCACATCTCATCATAGTACTATTGCGGCGTGCAACTCGATCCCACACACTATCGTTGTACTGCAAACCATCTGGATTTCCGATCGAGCCAAAATGCTCATACTCACTAGACACATGTGTATCAACATCAAGAATAATAAAGTGCATAATTACCACTATGAGAAGATGACTAAGCATAATACACTATAGGAAAAAAGCAAGCTCAGCTACGGTGCAATAAGCAATTCGACATCACAAGGGTCATCTCGCTCATATATCGCCACAAGGCCTAAACAGGATTACAGCATGTGTCTTAATCATTAAGTAGCCTCAATACCCATCATAGCATAAGAGAGAAGCACATAACATAGACCAGAGCATGAATAACATCCATTCCACCTGATGATATACCTACGGTAACAGCTGCGTAAAAGTAAGCAAACTCGATCCGATATAGGATACACCTTTTCATTAGGCCTACAAATAGCCCCAAACCAAATTCCAATAATCCCCAAACTGGTATATAACCGTCCCAAAAGCCCATAGTACCATATCCATAACACATACCATCAGCTATACAGTTCTTAACATATCTTCACAGTCTGCAACCAAGGAATAGTCTACCTACGAGAACATCTGGTCTCTAATCCTCATGAATATCGCGATTGTTTTAATACTAGTAAAGCATCCGCAATCAATACACAAGGTTCCTTACA